GATCCGGTGCCCACTTGTTGCAGATTTGAGAGAACAACGTCAAACGAACAGTTTCAACCGGAACAGAATCTCTGATAAGAGACCACCTCCAAGAAACGCTAAGTTTAGCCATATTTTAGCCATATGGCCTCTCATGGAAGATTCCACTGTTATATTTTTTCTTCTTTAACGTGAGCAGATTACACTTAACAAGTCTATAGCATTAAAATTCGACAAATGTTGTCTCTTATTGTACAATAACATGACTGACCCACTTCAATTCTAGATTTATGGCCAGCTTTCCATACTCAACCTCAGCATGGAAATTTCTGGTCAACTGGTTCAACTCAGCGATCAAAACAGGACGCGATTAAAAGCGATCAGTACTATCAACATATATAGTCACGACCGTCTTTCCACCGTCATGTCATCAATTCCTCAATTCCTCATGTCACGGATGCGCGCGCATCATCATTAGTATAATATAAAAAGCCAACAATGAAGAATGAATGTAAGATAAAAAGCCAACAATGAAGAGTAAATATGATATAAAAAGCCAACAATGAAGAATGAATGTAAGATAAAAAGCCAACAATAAAGAGTAAATGTAATATAAAAAGCCAACAATGAAGAATAAATGTAAGATAAAAAGCCAACAATGAAGAGTAAATATAATATAAAAAGCCAACAATGAAGAATAAATGTAAGATAAAAAGCCAACAATGAAGAGTAAATATAATATAAAAAGCCTACAATGAAGAATAAATGTAAGATAAAAAGCCAACAATGAAGAGTGAATATGATATAAAAAGCCAACAATGAAGAATGAATGTAAGATAAAAAGCCAACAATGAAGAGTAAATGTAATATAAAAAGCCAACAATGAAGAATAAATGTAAGATAAAAAGCCAACAATGAAGAGTAAATATAATATAAAAAGCCAACAATGAAGAGTGAATGTAAGATAAAAAGCCAAAAAAGAAGAGTAAATGTAATATAAAAAGCCAACAATGAAGAATGAATGTAAGATAGAAAACCAACAATGAAGAGTGAATGTAATATAAAAAGCCAACAATGAAGAATGAATGTAAGATATAAAGCCAACAATGAAGAGTGAATGTAAGATAAAAAGCCAACAATGAATAGTAAATGTAATATAAAAAGCCAAAAATGAAGAATGAATGTAAGATAAAAAGCTAACAATGAAGAGTAAATATAATATAAAAAGCCAACAATTGAAGAGTGAATGTAAGATAAAAAGTCAACAATGAAGAGTAAATGTAATATAAAAAGCCAACAGAGTGAATGTAAGATAAAAAGCCAACAATGAAGAGTGAATGTAATATAAAAAGCCAACCTTGAAGAATGAATGTAAGATAAAAAGCCAACAATGAAGAGTAAATATAATATAAAAAGCCAACAATGAAGAGTGAATGTAAGATAAAAAGCCAACAATGAAGAGTAAATGTAATATAAAAAGCCAACAGAGTGAATGTAAGATAAAAAGCCAACAATGAAGAGTAAATATAATATAAAAAGCCAACAATGAAGAGTAAATCTCTATATATATAAAAATGAATGTTTGTCTGTTTGTATGTTTGTTTGTATGTCCGGTATACAAATTCGCAGTAGTTCACTAATTCAAACCAAAATTTCCATACATAGGTAAAAAATACGGGGAAGACGATAGGCTATCAACATATATAGTCACGACCGTCTTTCCACCGCCATGTCATCAATTCCTCAATTCCTCATGTCACGGATGCGCGCGCATCATCATTAGTATAATATAAAAAGCCAACAATGAAGAATGAATGTAAGATAAAAAGCCAACAATGAAGAGTAAATATGATATAAAAAGCCAACAATGAAGAATGAATGTAAGATAAAAAAGCCAACAATAAAGAGTAAATGTAATATAAAAAGCCAACAATGAAGAATAAATGTAAGATAAAAAGCCAACAATGAAGAGTAAATATAATATAAAAAGCCAACAATGAAGAATAAATGTAAGATAAAAAGCCAACAATGAAGAGTAAATATAATATAAAAAGCCAACAATGAAGAATGAATGTCAGATAAAAAGCCAACAATGAAGAGTAAATATGATATAAAAAGCCAACAATGAAGAATGAATGTAAGATAAAAAGCCAACAATGAAGAGTAAATGTAATATAAAAAGCCAACAATGAAGAATAAATGTAAGATAAAAAGCCAACAATGAAGAGTAAATATAATATAAAAAGCCAACAATGAAGAGTGAATGTAAGATAAAAAGCCAACAATGAAGAGTAAATGTAATATAAAAGCCAACAATGAAGAATGAATGTAAGATAAAAAGCCAACAATGAAGAGTGAATGTAATATAAAAAGCCAACAATGAAGAATGAATGTAAGATATAAAGCCAACAATGAAGAGTGAATGTAAGATAAAAAGCCAACAATGAATAGTAAATGTAATATAAAAAGCCAAAAATGAAGAATGAATGTAAGATAAAAAGCCAACAATGAAGAGTAAATATAATATAAAAAGCCAACAATGAAGAGTGAATGTAAGATAAAAAGTCAACAATGAAGAGTAAATGTAATATAAAAAGCCAACAGAGTGAATGTAAGATAAAAAGCCAACAATGAAGAGTGAATGTAATATAAAAAGCCAACCTTGAAGAATGAATGTAAGATAAAAAGCCAACAATGAAGAGTAAATATAATATAAAAAGCCAACAATGAAGAGTGAATGTAAGATAAAAAGCCAACAATGAAGAGTAAATGTAATATAAAAAGCCAACAGAGTGAATGTAAGATAAAAAGCCAACAATGAAGAGTAAATATAATATAAAAAGCCAACAATGAAGAGTAAATCTCTATATATATAAAAATGAATGTTTGTCTGTTTGTATTTTTGTTTGTATGTCCGGGATACAAATTCGCAGGAGTTCACTAATTCAAACCAAAATTTCCATACATAGGTAAAAAATACGGGGAAGACGATAGGCTATCAACATATATAGTCACGACCGTCTTTCCACCGCCATGTCATCAATTCCTCAATTCATCATGTCACGGATGCGCGCGCATCATCATTAGTATAATATAAAAAGCCAACAATGAAGAATGAATGTAAGATAAAAAGCCAACAATGAAGAGTAAATATGATATAAAAAGCCAACAATGAAGAATGAATGTAAGATAAAAAAGCCAACAATAAAGAGTAAATGTAATATAAAAAGCCAACAATGAAGAATAAATGTAAGATAAAAAGCCAACAATGAAGAGTAAATATAATATAAAAAGCCAACAATGAAGAATAAATGTGAGATAAAAAGCCAACAATGAAGAGTAAATATAATATAAAAAGCCAACAATGAAGAATGAATGTCAGATAAAAAGCCAACAATGAAGACTAAATATGATATAAAAAGCCAACAATGAAGAATGAATGTAAGATAAAAAGCCAACAATGAAGAGTAAATGTAATATAAAAAGCCAACAATGAAGAATAAATGTAAGATAAAAAGCCAACAATGAAGAGTAAATATAATATAAAAAGCCAACAATGAAGAGTGAATGTAAGATAAAAAGCCAACAATGAAGAGTAAATGTAATATAAAAGCCAACAATGAAGAATGAATGTAAGATAAAAAGCCAACAATGAAGAGTGAATGTAATATAAAAAGCCAACAATGAAGAATGAATGTAAGATATAAAGCCAACAATGAAGAGTGAATGTAAGATAAAAAGCCAACAATGAATAGTAAATGTAATATAAAAAGCCAAAAATGAAGAATGAATGTAAGATAAAAAGCCAGCAATGAAGAGTAAATATAATATAAAAAGCCAACAATGAAGAGTGAATGTAAGATAAAAAGTCAACAATGAAGAGTAAATGTAATATAAAAAGCCAACAGAGTGAATGTAAGATAAAAAGCCAACAATGAAGAGTGAATGTAATATAAAAAGCCAACCTTGAAGAATGAATGTAAGATAAAAAGCCAACAATGAAGAGTAAATATAATATAAAAAGCCAACAATGAAGAGTGAATGTAAGATAAAAAGCCAACAATGAAGAGTAAATGTAATATAAAAAGCCAACAGAGTGAATGTAAGATAAAAAGCCAACAATGAAGAGTAAATATAATATAAAAAGCCAACAATGAAGAGTAAATCTCTATATATATAAAAATGAATGTTTGTCTGTTTGTATGTTTGTTTGTATGTCCGGTATACAAATTCGCAATAGTTCACTAATTCAAACCAAAATTTCCATACATAGGTAAAAAATACGGGGAAGACGATAGGCTATTTAAAAATATTTATAAATCAATTATTAAAACTATATATTTTTAGTCAGAAAATGATGACGATATTGCTGTATCATGTTTGATTATCAGATACAAAATTATATCGGGAAAAATTCCAAAAAGCAGAGACCACGGGTGAAACCAGTTTCTTATTTTGTACGCAGGAACAAAATTCTAACAGAAAAAATTCATTCGAGCAGAAAACAAAAGCCAGATCATCTTTCTATAAAAATATCGCTTCTCAGACACAAAGTTTGCAGCGGGACGTTTCACAAGTGTGACATCCACGGCGCCAATTTATAATTGTAACGAATAGTATTTGAATAAAAACATTTAATCGGGTAAAACCCGGGCGTTGCCCGGGTCATTCGTCATCAACATATATAGTCACGACCGTCTTTTACCGTCAACAATTCCTCAATTCCTCATGTCACGGATGCGCGCGCATCATCATTATGATCATTATCATTATCTAATGATAATAATAATAATTATTATTATATTATTATTATTATTATTATTAATATATAGTCACGACCGTCTTTCCTCAATTCCTCATCGCTGTCACGGATGCGCGCGCATCATCATTATGATCATTATCTTCTATAGAAGCTTCTATC